GTAGAGTCATGAGAATATCAACTGGAAAGTTTGCAAGATTTGCCGATGGCTGTGCAGTTGTTGAGGTGAGTTAGTGTATCTAATGTCAACTTGTGTTACATCAAATTTTTATCAGCAACATATACATTTTGTACTGGTACTAATCATAGTACCTAAACATATAACATCAGGTACTGTTACAGGTACCAGTACAGAGATTTTGGTACATTTTCAGACCTGTACGTCCTGTACCTGAACAATATGACAAATTTTAATTATGTTAAAACATATAGTGTTCTTCTGAACTTCGTCAATAATATTTCTTGTGTTGTCCCAGCTTGGTGACACATCTGCCATGGTGACAGCAGTCAGCCGTACCAGACCCAGCTCTGCAGGGTTCCTGCCTCTCACCGTGAGTCTCTCCTCATATGGGCCTCATCAGGAAACTTCTCTACATGAGAACAACCAGCATGAGATGGATACATGCTGGCGAGAATAGGCTGTGCCTGAATATCATATCAGATTGAGTATTTCATATACATGTATAACTTGAACTATAAGTTAACATATAAGTTATAGATCTATGATATCGTCCAGAAAGATTAAATCAAAATAGTTTTATTACATCCGGACCATGGTAACTCAGGTTCTGTGGCAGACATCCTGTGATGTTGGATCAGATTATGTAGCAAGTGATAGGACAGAGTCAGGGATGGCCACCATATACATTGTATATAATATATATTATGTGCTTAAGTAAGAATAAGTAGAGCATCAGTTTGTTACATTAGACCATGTGAAGGTAAATATTATTATTACCTCCATGAAAAATGGAGGTATTGTTTTTGGCGTATCTGTCTGTCTGTCTGTGTGACTGTCTGTCTGTGTGTGTTTCCGCAACTTTGTGGTCATCATAACTTCATAACGCCTTTATGGATTGTGATGATATTTGGTATGTTGGTAAGTCTTAGGAAGACGAAGGTCAAGGTCACATATGGGCCTCCTGGTGGATGACCTTGGTACTGCAGCAGAACTTCTGGTCTATAACTTGTTTTTCTTGTTGACAACCGTCCCATGACTGCAGGTTGACTACAGACAGAAGGCGGCGGCGGCTGGTCGGATCCCCACCACCCACCTGAGACGTGAGCTGGCACAGACAGACAGGGAGATCCTGGTCAGCAGACTCATTGGTCAGGCTCATAGCTTCTCTTTACATATACTAATTCATACTTACGCCAAGAAGCAGTTACTCAAGTAACTGGATATGATCTGGATGTTGCTTGAGTACCGGTAACTACTTTTTGGCATATCTTATTACCTGCACGGATGTCTAATCTTCCCCAACGTTATTCATACTTACATTCACTTACTGCCCTTAATGGCAGTCCTAACATATAGGGAAGCTCTCTTCACATATTATGGAGAACTTAAAACATATTGATCAGAACTCGAAATCCTAGTGGTGTATGCAGGTTAGTGCAGGCGAAATTGGAGCTGTGCAGGTATTTCTAATGTTAGGTTACGCCTAACCTGCACTGGACCAATTTGCCTGTACTGGAATTACATATGTATACAAATGAAGGCCAAGGTGTATGTGGATTTTCATTAGCTGCATTGACTGTTACCACCTATATGAACTATAAAAGAAATGTCAATGTTTTGTGACTACTAGGTTTTAGTGTAATCTATACTTTCTGAATTCTGTGTGGTGCAGGTGAAATTTGGCTGGTGCTGGTAATTTTCAATGTTACCTGCACCAGTGTAGGTACATGTACAATGTATGCAGGCCAATGTAGGATTGAGAGAACTTGTGAAATACATGTATGTTTTCTTGTTCCTTCTGCACCATAGACCGATCCATCAGACCATTGTTTCCTGCAGGATACATGTATGAGACACAGGTCAGAAAATACACAATGATTATGTATTACATGCATTTGCTACATTTTAACTTCTGAAGCATTTATATGGGCTAATATACAATGTATTGTAAGAAGAATATATATAGTGTAAACATTTACTCCATTGAATCCTTGAGAGAGAATTTTCCATGTCCATTTTTGTCATACCATGAACTTTTCTACCACAAAGACAAAGTGAATTATAGTTTCCTTCTGCTGATTTTACATAATGGACAAGCAGATCATATGGTGGCAAGGCAGTATCCATGGACACCGAATAGACACCCCTCTGGCCAATGGATACTTTCTTGCTACCTTATGAGAATTTAGATTTTTCATACAAGGGATGATCTCAGTCATCTCACCCAAAGATGCAGTTACCATGGTAACTTGTCTTTCCTCACCACAGGTCATCAGTAACCTCTTGGCTGTAGATGGGGTCAACGACCCTGACATTGCCAGCATCAATGGAGGTTAGTTCTGAAGAAATGAAGTCTTTGATTTTGTAGTTGCCCCTATTTAAGACGAAACTTTTTCATCAACTTGTTCTAATCTAAGCTCAAAATACCAGTTTATATTTACTAGTAACTTGTTATGTTTTGTCCATTTCCTACAGCTTCCACTGCCCTAGCACTGTCAGACTGTCCATGGAATGGTCCTATTGGTAAGTTGCATGTTGATATCATTGTCACCAAATTTTCTCTTTTGTATCAAAAGTTCTTTCCTCAACTAAAAGTCTATGACTCAGACTTGGGTGAGACAGTGTTTGACAGCTAACAGATAAACAGTATGAGTTACTATTGTTACTGTAGGTGCAGTAACAGTTACTGTTTGTTACTGTAAGTGCAGTAAGAGTTACTGTTTGTTACTGTAAGTGCAGTAAGAGTTACTGTTACTGAAGGTGCAGTAAGAGTTACTGTTTGTTACTGTAGGTGCAGTAACAGTTACTGTTTGTTACTGTAGGTGCAGTAAGAGTTACTGTTTGTTACTGTAGGTGCAGTAAGAGTTACTGTTTGTTACTGTAGGTGCAGTAAGAGTTACTGTTTGTTACTGTAGGTGCAGTAAGAGTAGGGATCATTGATGATGAGTACATCATTAACCCCACACGGAGGCAGCTGTCCAAAAGTAAACTCAACCTAGTGGTGACCGGAGCAGAGAAGAACCTTGTCGGTAAGTGTGTGTCTGCCAAAAGGTTTAGCTAAAAAGCATTCAGTAATAGCCATGTAAATTTTCATTTCATTTACAGCACCATTGAAAATTTAGGAATGACAGTTACAGTAGTAGCTTTGGTACTTACATGTAGTAATACATTGTAGGTCAAAGATATAGACGATGACTTAGTAGTACCTAAATATAAATGCATTGTACATTGACAATGTATTACAAGATACAGGTGCTTAATGTTTTGCATTTTTCTCAGACTGTGAACTTTTGCTACTGTGAACATAAAGTGAATTACAGTATTCTATGTGGGAGTTAATTTTACATAATTTAGTAATAGTACTGTAAACTTCTTACAGTAAACAGTAGCAAACATGACTGTTATCTTTCTATCTATCCAGTGATGTTGGAAGGTTCAGCAGAAAACGTCCTGCTTCCAGACTTCCAGCGAGCCATCAAGACGGGTATTAAGGAGACCCAGAAGATCATCCGGGGCATCCAGACTCTTCAGAAGGAGGCGGGGAAGGAAAAGAGAACCCCTCCCAAACTCTTCACACCCCCGGAGGAGATATTGGAACAGGCCAGGAAGTATGCACTTTTGTTTATCTTCCCAATGTAACAGGCCAGAAGATACCCCTGGTCAGAATACCTGGCCAGGGGTATATTCTGTACTTTGGCCTGTTACACCAGTTTGATGCCATTGTTTTTGTGTTGCTTACAATTCAAAGTTAATGTATCTTTAAGGTGTCATTGATAATCAAAACTTTCCCTTCTCAGACTTGCTACAGAAAGACTTCAAGTTGTTTTTACAGATCCTTCACATCATAAGGTAAAGTAATGCTTGCTCTTTTCCATATTTACAATAGTGTCATACTAGTATAATGTTACACTCTTCTGTAGTCTGATACAGATATATTCTGTATTGTAAATGTATCAAATATACATCTATATCTTGAAATATTTCGAGCTTTGTTTTCGCAATTTTCACAGTGCCTCTGCACCCATAAAT